GATGTAAGCTTATACCATGAATTCTCTGTTTTCTTGTAACGATAGTACAATCCCCTCCCTTCAAATTGTTCATGGCATGATATCTACACTATAAACAATTTAGGCTCTTTTACTAATTACTAGTTTTAATTGCCTGTCATGCAACTTTAATTTCTAATGGAAATATTTACCTTCACAACTGTCTATTAGGGGTATTTCTCTTAGGCCTGAGGCTAAGTCAATTGGTTTGTCTTCATGAAGGTCACTGGAGAGCCTTTGATACAACGCAAAGATGACACCGCTGCTGTTCTTAAGTCAAGGCTGGAATCCTTCCATAGGCAAACCGAACCGGTATACTTCTTTTTAGCTCTAGTTGCTTTGGTTTAGAGTTGATCTCAAACTTATCTTGGAATTGAACTGTACTGACTAAGATCTTGTTTGGAAAAGCATCTGCCAGACCAACAATTGTATTTGGCAGTGGACTTGATTTACAATCTGTTTGGCAAACTTAATCACATTGATGTTATTATTGTCAAGAGTGATTTTTCATGCTGCAATTTAGGCTAGACTTTTCACATCAAAACTTAGATTATTTGTAGTGACGTAGTTGTTTCATAAATTTATTAGCTTGTTTTGGTTCCACAAGAAATAACTTTTGGCAATCCAATTTTAAGTGAGGTTCCATTTTTGTTGTTCAAAAGTGGGGTCCCGTCTTATGATTTCCTTTGCGCAGAGTTGTAAACAAAATATTTTGGTTTTGATGTGCAGGTAATTGACTACTATGCGAAAAAGAATATGGTAGTGAACCTTCCTGCAGAGGAACCACCTCAGACGGTCACAAGTGAAGTGAAGAAAGCCCTCTCATGACGAAGGATGCTTTAACCTCTCTGCTTTTCTTTCTTTCATCTCGAAGATCTGAAAACTGGAACTCTGAAGTTTTGATTTACTGACAAACATCTCTAGAGGCTGAGTCACCTTAATGTTGGTGAGTTTATTTCTTTCTGCACATTGATAGACTAGGAGGCTTTTTGTTACCTACTAATGTGTTGTACCAAGATTAGGAGGCCTTTATTTTGCTGCAAAGGAGAATAAAAGATACAAAGTAGGAGCCCCACCACCTTTTCGGGGGTGATTGCCAGATAATTGCTGGGTTTCTGGACATGTTTGGATATTTAACGCATGCAGGCATGCCACATTAATAAGATTGCTTTCATGATCAAGTTTCACGAGTTATGATGCGAAAGTAGCATTTTCATAAGCAGCACTCTATTGACCTGCTTTGATTTTTTTTTTCATTTTTCAATGTTGAAGTATTTACAGTAAACTCTCTTCATGTCGTTGCACTGTCTGATTTAATAGTCTAACGTGCAATTCAGATAAAGACTGTTTGATTTATTTTTGAGTTAATATCCTAAAACCCCCTTTTAACTATTAACTTTTTGTGATTTATCTACTTAAACTATAGGGAGTTCCCAAAACCCCTTGAACTATATTCACCTTCAAATTAAAAGCCCTCGATTGAATTCTTAGAGGTGTGTCTGATACACGCTCCTAATTAACTAAAAATGTACCATGTGGCATTACATGTCACTATTTAACTTAGTTTAAAATCCCCTAAAACTATCAGATGTCCCTAAAGCCCCCCCTTCAACTATGTTTCCCTATATATTAAAACCCCCCTATTGAATTCTTAGAAATGTGTCTGTATAATTGTATCAACTTATGGTTTGTACTAAGTTTTTGATGTAGCTAGCTTACTCGTGGTGTATTACTCTCGGATGATTGATTAATTGTAGGCATTTTTGGCTAAAGTAGGTTCTAATATAAATGTATTATTTTAGCTTTAATTGTGATTGTGTTGTATGCTAGATTTAAGCTGAATAAGTCCTTGTTTATATTCACTTGGCAGCAAAAAATGAAAGCATATAATGTTGGATTCAACTTTATTCTCTATAAAGTGTTGGATTTTAATAAGAAGATTTAAGTGGGTATTATTTCTATAATATGGGTAAGAAATGAAATAAGACTAAAATAAGAAACAACAACAACAACAACCCATTAAAATCCTACTAGTGGGGTCTGGGGAGGGTAGTGTGTACGTAGAATTTACCCCTACCCCGAAGGAGTAGAGAGACTGTTTCTGAAAAGACCCTCGACTCAAGAAAACAAAAAGACAAAAGGAGACAATATCAGTATCACCACAGAAAAATAGGAACAACATGAAATCCATAAGAAAGATGCAAAGCAAAAGCGATAGATAGTAAATAGGTCATGCACTGAAAAGCGAAATAGTAAGACACAACATTGCCACTAGCTATATTAGACAAAAAACCATACCAGACTAGTCTCACAAGGTACGAAGTAAGGTAAGACTCAACTACCTCCTAACCTACAACCCTAATACTCGACCTCCACATCTTCCTATTAAGTGTCATGTCCTCGGAAATCTGAAGTCTCGCCATATCCTGCCTGATCATCTCTCCCCAATACTTCTTAGGCCGCCCTCTACTTCTTCTCGTGCCCTCCACAACCAGCCGCCCACACCTCCTTACTGGAGCATATGGGCTTCTCCTATGAACATGCCCGAAACATCTGAGCCTCGCTTCCCGCATCTTGTCATCAATGGGAGCCATGTGCACCTTCTCCCAAATAATATCATTCCTAATCGTATCCATCCTGGTGTGCCCGCACATCCACCTCAACATCCTCATTTCTGCTACTTTCATCTTCCGGATATGTGAGTTCTTAACAAGCCAATACTCAGCCCCATACATCATGGCCGGTCTGACCACCGCTTTATAGAACTTACCTTTGAGTGTCGGTGTCACTCTCTTGTCGCACATGACTCCAGATGCTAACATCCATTTCATCCATCCTACCCCAATACGGTGTGTGATATCCTCGTCGATCTCCCCTCCCCCTGGATAACCGACCCAAGGTGCTTGAAGCTACTTCTACTTGGGATGACCTGTGATTCAAGCCTTACATCCACGTCCACTTCCCCCGGCTCAGCGCTGAACTTTCACTCTAGGTATTCCGTCTTCGTCCTGCTCAGCTTGAAGCCCTTAGACTCAAGAGCATGTCTTCAAGCCTCCAACCTCTCGTTAATACCGGCTCGCGACTCATCAATCAGAACTATGTCATCAGCGAATAGCATGCACCATGGCACCTCCTCATGAATATGGCGTCTATCACCAGGGCGAATAAGAACGGATTGAGTGCAGAACCTTGGTGTAACCCCATTACAACCAGAACATGCTCAGAGTCGCCTCCTACTGTCCTAACCCGAGTCTTAGCCCCATCATACATGTCCTTAATCGCCATAATATAGGGAACCGACACACCTTTTGCCTCCAAGCATCTCCAGAGAACTTCTCTAAGAACCTTGTCATACGCTTTCTCTAGATCAATAAACACCATGTGCAGATCCTTCTTTCTTTCTCTGTACAATTCCACCAACCTCCTAACAAGTTGTATAGCTTCTGTAGTTGAACGACCCGACATGAATCCGAACTGGTTGTCGGATACGGACACTGTCATCCTCACCCTCGCCACACTTTCATGGTATGACTCAGTAAGACTAAAATAAGAAAAAGAATAAATAATTCTAGAGGAACAAGAGGTGAAATTTTTCTAGAGAAAACCCATATAGATAACTGAAGAGGAAAGGTAAAAAATGAGGAAGGAAGGTGAAAAAATGAAAGAAAAAATGTGAAAATGAAAAAGAAATGTGAAAAAATGAAGCAAATGCAGAGAAAATAAAAATGAATAAATTTTTAAAAAGTGTAAGGCTAATTAGCCATTACACACTGTCAGGTTGGTCATTTTGTTGGTTTTTTTCAATCTTCACGCGCTCTTCGGCAAGTTACTACACGTATTATACTAGGTAAGCAACGAAAGAGTTTTAATATAAAGGGAAAAATAGTTCGAGGGGTTTTAGGGACACAATTTAAATAGGTAACTTGCGAGAAGTTGATAGTTAAAAGAAGGTTTAAGGGTATTAACTCATTATTTTTTTTGCTAATTAAAGGAAGTTTAAGGGTATTAACTAATTGAAACACATATGAAAGAGTTTCACTTGGAATTTGGTTTTCTTAACTCTGTAATATACACTAAACAATCTCTCAAATAGCTGAGGATGTTTTAAATAATGATGTCCCGTTACGAATGGGGCTTTTGCATCAATACCCGAGTTTGGAGTCACATTGAACCTACACCTACTTTGCAAAAAAAGTTTGTAAGCGTACCCACTTTACGATTAACTTCAGACCTATCGAGCCTGAAGTTAAAAAAAAATTAGTCTGAAGTGAAAAATTGCACTTCAGATGCACTTAAGGCCAAAAGGTCGGAAGTGCAACAAACGTTTTGCTACACTTAAGGCCAATAAGTCTGTAGTGAAATATTTCACTTCAGATGCACTTAAAGCCAGAAGGTCTGAAGTGCAACCAACGTTTTTATGCATTTAAGGCCAAATAGGCCTGAAGTGCAAATTGCTTAGAAACAAAAATTTGTTCTTCGAATTATAACAATCCAATATACGATTTAATACCTAAATCTACTCCAAATGAGCTCAAATTTGAAACATAACCTCCAAAAATCATCAGGAACAAACCTCAATCATCAATTTGTCAAAAAAAAAATAATAAACCTAATGAACCCATTTCGCAATTAACAAAAAGAAGAAGAAGAAACCTTAAACAATAGTAAAAAAATAAAGCGTCATCACGGCTCACCATTTTAAAACATCATAAACTACATTAAAATATGTTCACAACCACCATATGAAATTATTGATATGTTCACAATCACCATATAAAATCATTGTCACCCGAAGAAGAAGAAGAAGAAGGAGGAGGAGGAGGAGAAGAAAACGAAGGAGGAGAAAGAGGTCTGAAGTTATTTAAAAAGTGGGTACAAATTAAATTTTTTTTAAAAAGGTGGGTATAGATTAAATTGGGGNAAGGGCACTTCTATCTTTATATTATGGTATTGCTAATACTATGGTTTGCTATGTATAAGAATAATACTAAATATGTTGTATAATTAAAACATGTATTAGTTTACATAGATTGAAAAATACTACCAAACAAGAGATTAATAATACCAAAGCTAATATATTTATTATTTTCCCTAATACATCCTACCAAACTACCCTTAAAAGGGTTCTTTTTAATTATGCTTACATTTTCTTTGGTAAATAACTAAACTTGTGGAAAGTGGAAACTACGGAGTTTTTTATTTTTTTTGAGAAGTACTAAGTTAGTCAGTAGCTGCAACGGTTTCCTTCTGCTGTAGGTTCCTACAGATAATTCCATAACACAAAAAATCATCAGATTTTCGCTACAGAAAAAGAAACTAAAATAGAAGAGAAAAGTTCAAGGGCTAAAACTCTCTTTTTCTTTTAAGTTCCAAGTGATGCAAAGTGAAAGAGAAGAAGAAGAAGATGATTTCAAGAGTCAAAGGCTTTAACCAAATAATAATAATTATTTTCACTTTTTGAAAAACAAAAGGGGGGTGAAATTAAATGATTTTCCCAGCAGTCCTAAACATTTCTTTTCTTTCTCCCAAAATCAATATTTGGAATACTTTGAAGGGCGTTATCTAACCTATAGCACGTGATGATGTAATAGGATTTAATATTTCTACTGGAAATAAATGAATTTTTACGCAGTCATTGCAATTTAACATGTTCTTAAAATTTATTTGCCTAATTTTTTAGATTATTACTTCAATACTTTTTAAGCTATCAGTGTATTGTGGTTAGACACGATGTAATATTCAACCTATGCAGTGGTGGTACTGGGGGTGGCAAAATGGTTCAAAGAAAATAGTTAACCACTCATATTATCCACTAAAAAATGGGTTGGATAATGAACTTCTTAAAAACGGATCAAATATGGATAAGAACCATATTATCCATTTAGAAAATGAATAACCAATGAATCTAACTTTTACATTTGTAAAGCTTCAAATTAGGGGTTTCTCAGGTTAGGGAGACTAAGAATTCTCCCAAAAGTGATAATATACAAGAAGTATTATCCGCCGTTTCGACCCGACTCATATTCTCCCAAAAGTGATCATATACAAAATATGGGTAACCCATATTATCCGCCGGTTAATCCGTTTTTTATCCGTATTAAATATAATTAATCAGTTTTTTCATTACCCTATTTAGATCCGACCCGCCCGTTTGCCACTGCTAGGTGGTACATACCATTGATGCCTTAGCCAACGGGAAAGTTGGTAGAGTTGCACAGACTCATTTGCAGCATGACAAGCTAGCAGCATATGATTCCGAGGCCTCACCATCCATGCAAATCTCATACACAACATTGAGAACACACATAACACTGCAGCCAAATAGACAAAGGCTAGGTCAAAATTTCAAAATATAGAAATGTAAATTTTTTGAAGTTGAGGTAATCATTCATGTAGAAACAAAAGCACGATTTACAGAAAAGTTCTGTCTCTCGAATAGAGGTAAATTTAGGATTTAGAGGGGTGGACAAACTTATGATGGTCAAATCAGCTTATAAACACTTTTTATCTTAGGCAAAATGACCTTCTGACCACTTAAACTTATACCTGATTGTCATTCCAAAGTTTGAACTCGCACATATATAAACAATAAACATCTTTGATCATCGACTATGCTTACGTGGCAAGGATACATGTGACATGGACAAAGTGCATGCAACTCACATAATTAGCGCGCGTGAGTGCAGTAATTTTGGATTAAAATTTTTCTAAAATCAGGAAAAAAATAATAAATGAAAAAAGGCCCCAATCCCATCCCTTTCTTTACCAATACACCGTTTTCCCCTTCTTCCTCTGTCCGCCAACCCCCAACTAGTACATCCATTTTCTTCCTCTCACTTCCAAATCAAACCCAATATTTTTACTGTCACAAGCACCCTGCTTCCACTGAAAGTCAAGGGTATAGTTGAGAGGGATATTAAGAATTCAAAATTTGCATGCCAATTTTTGAATTAGGCAAAAACAAAACAAAAATCAACTTTGGAATTCAAGAAGAAAATCAACGATGGGGGAGCATTTTGGTGTAGTTTTGTGGTGGTCCATGTGGTTGGTCGTTGGTGAAGTGGAGGGGGCGGCCATTGGAGTTTTCTGGTGGTCAAAACTCAAAAATTCTATCCCTAATTGAATTTAACAGAAATAAAAAGAGAAGTAGAAAATGAATGAAGGAAGCTGACTAATTTCTTGGATTTGGGGTTTGGTCGGAGGCTTTCTCGACAATATCTTCTTTTACTGGTTTGGGGGAGGGGGAGGGAAGAGGTGGAGAAGAAAGTAAAAAATAAAATGAAATTTTGATAAATTAATTTTAAAAGTAGTACCCACAAATAACACATGTAAGCAATAAATGGTCTAGCATATGAGGTGTTTGACATGTTACGCAATTAATATACACATTTGGTTGGATGTATTTATTAATATTCATTCCATCAAATTTAGGTGTTCAAATTGGAAAATTGTAAGTTTGGCTATCGAGTTGACAATTGGGTGCAAGTTTAAGTGGCCAGGAGGTCATTTTGCCTTTATCTTATGAGTTCGGTAATTATAAAAAGTACTTATAAACTTATAAGTAAGGGTGTTAAACGGGCTCGGTTGGACCGGTTCCGGACCGGCCCAGACCGGTATAACTCGGAATCGGCCCGGACCGGTAATAGGGGGGCTGGGCTGGGCTGGGTAAGGGGGTTTGGGGGGTTTGCGCGGTTCATCTGGCCCAAACGGGTAACCGGAACCTGTTGAACCCGATAGAGTGAACAGTAACTCTTACCGGGTTAACCGGCCCGGCCCGGTTCAAAACGGCTATTTTTTTTTTAATTTTTCTGACTTGTGGGTCCAACAGACCGTTGGCAACGGTCAGACCATGTTTTGGTCCGTTGGACAACGGAAAAATTGCTCAAATAGCCTTTTTTTTTTTTTTTAAATTTTTAACCCTTTTTCAATTTACAAAACTAACCTTCTCCAAAAATATTTCTTTCCAATTCCTCCGATTTACTTAATTGGTGCTGTTTTAAATCCTTCTATTAAGATGTCTGATTGTCACCAATTAATGAATGCTTTATATACTTATATGGAGATTGGACCAACTGAAACCCCAGATTTATATACTTGTATGAACAAGCTAAATGAATATTTACAACAATTATATAATTATTATGCAAATGTAATTGATGATGCTGCTCTTAATGTAGGCAATGTTAATCCAACTATGCATTGTACCACTTCTGCTACTGTGGATGATGAAGAAGACCTTGATAGTTTTAATATTTTTTCTACATTTTCTAACACTCAAACCAGTAGCAGGAACATTGATGAACTTCAATTCTACTTGCAGAAGCAAAAAGAGCCTCGCACAAAGGAATTTTCACCGTTGGGATGGTGGCATGAGAATGGAAAGCAATTTCCTGTTCTTTTCGCTATGGCTCGGGACGTGCTGAATGTGCCAATTTCAACTGTTGCATCAGAGAGTGCATTTAGCCAAGCAAGACAACAACTTGGAGACACCCGTCACTCATTGGGAAGCAATGCTTTGGAAGTTTTAGTATGTTTCAGAGATTGGATTAGATCGGAACGAAGAAATCAAGGACGTGAAGATGTTGATAGCCCAGAAGACGAGGAACTTGGAGATATATTAACACATGGAAACCCATCCGAATTTAACACTCCAGAAGAAGGTCAATCGGTTCATATTGATTATGATGAACTTACTAAGGCAATGCAAAACCTTTGAATTTACTATTTTACTTGTTGAAAAAAATGTAAACCTTTCAATTTGTAAGTTTGAAACTTTGAAATTTGAATTAAGAAATAAAAATAGCACTTGCAATAAGTGCATTTTTTCCCATCTTCCTTGTATTCTTTATGTTCGTACTTTGTAATGCACTTATTGCACTTATTACAATATTTATACAAAATTCCAAAAAAAAATAATTAAAATTACACTAAACCCGGCCTGGCTCGACCCTCTCAACCCGTAACCCGTACGGTTTAGCTTTTACCCGGTTGAACCCGAACCCATTAAACCCGTTAAGAACCCACCCGGAATCGGCCCGACCCGTAACCCGTACGGGTCCAAAAAAGGAGGCCCAAACCGGCCCGGTTAGCCCGTTAAACACCCATACTTATAAGCACTTTTGATTTGATCATTTACTATTTTACCCCTAATATCTTTCGTATCTAGAATTACCATTCCCAAACACAACCTTAAACTTCCTCTTTCCTCTATTTGTATCGTTCTTCTTTCTCCTTGTAAAACTATTTTTAATTTGTATTCTATGTAATGATGCATGAGCGGGATTTTAAGACTATAGTGCACCATCAACTTCAAGGTAAAATTGATTCTTGTCATCATGTCAAGCTGTTGGGCTAAAACGGCTCAATTATATTTTTAATAGGGTATGATATAATTCGCTTTGGGCCAAGCCCGTACATTTTTTCCCAAAAGATCTCACACCATTAAGAGATCTCTATACTTTATATGTAGGTTCCCAATCTTTTCAGCTATCAATATAAAATTTTGTTCGCACATCTTATAATCTCCCCCTCTAACTAAGTTTCATGTGGTCCACTACCACGTGATCCAAGGGTCTCTCTCTTGAACCAGTTCCACATGGCCTATTACCATGATTCATATGTCAATTTTCGAAATTCACTATGTGCCACCTATATCGTTAGAGTATTTATGACCACCGAAGCTTGCAAAGTTTTTTTTTTGGTGTGTACGTCTCCAAGTTAAGCAAACCGAGCCCCTGCACCATTATTTTGCTATCGGCATACTCATTCCTCTGAACCTGTACTCAAATACCAGTTGTTGGGCTAAAACGGCCTAATGATATTCTTAATATGGTGTGATACTGTCCGCTTTGGTATAAACCCACACGATTTTTTCTAAAAGACCTTACATCATTAAGAGATCCGTACACTTTATATGTATGCTATCAACCTTTTCAACAACTAATGTGGGACTTACACAAATAACGTGAATTGTTTTAGTGTTTTATTAGTTACTACAATGATTGAATATATTTGTCTTAAGCCTATTTAGTTCTTACCATAAAAACTCAAAACAAAGAGGGAAAATAGAATGCTAATAACAATTTAATACCATAATTTATGGAAACTTGTGCAATTTTAGGGCAAAAAGAAGGAGAAAAATATCAAAAAACCTTAGAACATATGACTGTTTCTTTATGCGTTGATTACCAGAAAAAAAGTATTCCGAACTAAAAAAATGGGAGACAAAAAATCAATAATTTGATTAGAATATGAGACATCTCTTTTTTTGACAAGGACTGATTTGGGTTCTCAAGTAATTAAAGTTAAATTGAGAAAGACGTCCCCGTTTAGCTTCTACCTCTTTTCCCTTCTTCGCCAACAATATGCTTGTCATTGCTTTGAGATACGATTTAAACTATTTGTGGCAGTCATTTCCAGCAGATTTGAATATAATTTTATCTTATTTTGTAAAAAATATGTACAATCAACTAATTATTCTCAAAACTGTAAATTTTGTTTTCTTATGAGATAACAAGTTATGCTTATATTTAAAACATAAAAAAAAGTGAATATTTAAACTTAATTGGAAAGCACAATATTTAAGGAATATCAGTAAATATTAAGCTAAAATAGAAGAATACACATAGCAGTTCCCTCTTTGTGGTGTACATTCTAAGTTGTGAGAACGAAATCTCCTTTGCAGAAGTTTTTGAGAAATCACAACGGCTAATATTCTCCAGAATTAAAGAAGAAATGAAGATTTAAGGCTATTTTAGTGAGTTTAGCAGAAAAAGTGTTGATATCGATGACTAAACACATCAAGTAGTTCTATTATCAAATTCAATTCAATACTTGTATTCAAATCATTAAGCAAAAGGGGATCTTAATTAGCTCAAATGCAGAAGACCATGATTTCCCTTACATACATAACAAATATATAAATCAAAAGGGGGTGTCACCTGCAGTCATGTTGCCAGATATTGCATCGGGGGACTTATTTGCATCCATCATTCCCTAATTAATTACAGAATCATTAATTAATTAATTAATTAATATTTGAGAGATATCTAAAACAACGTAACTTCTATTAAGCATATAATATATATACATACAGAGACGACAAATCCCCAGTTGGCCATCGGACCCCAAAAGTGAGTTGTTTTTGGACCCATTGGACTCTTCAAATATGCCCTCAACGATTCCATCACTTTGTGATTCATCAAATTAAAAGAAAGAAAGAAAGAGAAAATCAGTTGAAAAATAATTAATCTTGGGTTGGAGACTTAGCTTGTTGATAGAAAAGCAAAGTCAATCTCCACCTTCTTTCTGCACAGTTAACACAAAAATTAGCTCCAAAGGCAACTATATATAAATATGAAATCCAGGAGAACGTACTAATAAGAACCCGGCCAGATTCCTTGATAGTTGATAAAAAATAGGAAGAAACAAAAGGTAGTTGTTTATCTTTTTGACGAGGCAAGCATATATCCGAAATTTGCTTACCAGTTGTGTCATGCATTACACGTGCAAGCAATAAAACGAGCCGATTATTGACTATATTAGTATATATATACTTGGAGATGGAGAAACGTGAGGGCATGACTTTGTTTGTTAAAACATATATATTTACTATGTATATCTACGTCAAATCATAATAATTTAGGCAAAATACCTTATCATCCCCCCTAAACTTGATACGGATTATTAGTTATAGCCTTAAATTATTCGTGATCTCAATTCCATCCCTCAACTTGGTCTTTTGAGAGCCAGTACCCTCCTAAACACTGATATGGCAAAAAGCGTGGATGCACTCGCCTGCCACATGAATTTTTTTTTATATATGTGGCATTTTTTTGAAAAATAAAAAATATTTTTACCTTTTTAAGTATGTTAATTTGTTAGATAATTTTTTTCGAATACAATTTATAATGAAACTTGGATATAACTACATTATTTATGTTAACTTTTTTTATTTGGCTAAAAATAATAAAGTTTTAGTTAATCTTTTTTTGAATTTGAAATGATAATAAAGATTTATACAACTGAAATAAATAATCAAGACATCTAAAAGGTTATAAAAATACATAGTTTGAAATTAATTATTTTGGCTATAATTTTTTATATAGCTCTAAATTATGGTTCTCTAAAAATATACTTTTTTCATATTTTACCTGAAAAAGTAAAAATACACAATTGAAATAAATAGTCATTGCATCAAAAGAAGAAATAANTAGCTTAGTGTGTCGGGCTACCCTTTTTTATTGTTGTAAAAATGTATCCATAGAGTAAGTTAATTTTTACAATTGTAACACTTTTTTTATTTCTTCTTTTGATACAATGACTATTTATTTCAACTGTATATTTTTACTTTTTTTAGGTAAAATTTGTAATATATATATATTTAGAGCACCATAATTTAGAGATATATAAAAGATTATAGCTAAAATAATTAATTTCAAACTATGTATTTTTATAACTTTTTTGATGCCTTGACTATTTATTTCAATTATATAAATCTTTATTTTCAGGTCAAATTCAAAAAAAAATTAACTAAAACTTTATTATTTTTAGCCAAATAAATTTCTTAGCATAAATAATGTAGTTCTATCCAAGGGGATTCTTTAGGCTACTCCACGGAAGAGTCAACGCGAAAGAATGGTAGTATTCAACTTTCTATTGTCAATGTTCAAGTTCTTTGTCTTAGCTTATCTACTATTCCAAAAATGGAAAGTTCGACACAATTGAGATATTTTTTTGGAAATTGGAAGCAGTTACTAATTCATGATCTGGCATGTACATTATTATAAATTGTATTCGAAAAAAATTATCGAACAAAGTAACATACTTAAAAAGAAAAAATATTTTTTATTTTAAAGAAATGCCACATATGCAGATAAACCCACATGGCAGCGAGTGCACCCACACCTTTTGCCACATCAGCATCCAGAGGGTACTGACTCTCAAAAGACCAAGTTGAGGGGGGTAATTAAGACCACGAATAGCTTAAGGTTGTAACTAATAATCCGTGTCAAGTTTAGGGTGGGAGGGGTGATAAGGTATTTTGTCTAATAATTTGTATCATGATTATTGGGGATAGATATAGTTTACTCCCTCCATTCACTTTTACTTGTCTATTATACTAAAAATATATTTTCGCTTTTACTTGTTCACTATAATTAATTAAGAGAAAGACAATTGGTTTTTTCATGATTTACCCTAATCATTATCTACTCATTCCTCAAATTATTTTACAAGATATTTAAAAATGCTATTATTATTATGGATAAAATTGTAAAATACATACTTTATGTATTTTTCCTTGAAGTCAAAAGTGGACAAGTAATCTTAGAATTTGCTAGAAGTTAAGAGGTTGGGCTATACTCTATAGTAGAAGAAGAGGCGTATCAATGCATCATTCACTGCCTTACGGTTCCTTTGGCCTAAAAAGTCATCCTCATGAGTTTACGTTTTATGTTTGTTTGTAATGGAAAAATCTTTGGTCGTGTTTCAAGATATATCAGGACCATATTTAACAAGGAATTCATTATTTTTTCGGGTAAGTTTCTAGCTTAACCTTTCTTTAATGTTTGTCCAAATGGCTAGATCTGCCAAAGTGTTGGCCAAATCTTAAGGCCTTTCTTTTTGAGCTGACACATACTTACATCCTTCCCTTGTCTAAGCAACGGCTAGAAAAGAAAACTCAAAAACACGGTAAACCATTTTTTGACAATTGATGCTGACAGTACAAAAGTTTTTGGTGGAATACTTGCGGAGACATAAAATTGGTACGATTTTTCATTTAGATACCTGAACTTAACGGAGTTTCTATTGAGCACTTATACTATCCGAAACTTATTCCAATTAAGCAGTTTTTGCTGAGTTGACACATAAAGTGAATTTCACCCGATATAGGCGCGTGAAGACCTACCTAAAAAAAATAGATTTTTTTATTTTTTTCTTTTTTATTTCCTTCATCTTCTCCCTCAAAAAATAAAACAGATCTGCCAGTTGTCTCTTCACTGCCGGAATTCGGCGAGAGAAACCGGCGACCTCATCCTCTCCAAAAAAACAACGAGCCCCCTCTTCTTCTTCCGTGCTGGTCACAGAAAAGACACATCTTTGCTGAATCGGCTCGACAATAAAGTACGGCAATCTGCTGATTGCAGAAATCGCAAGGACGACTGTCTCCAGTGCTTTTCTGGCTCATTATCACGATTCCAAAACCCTAGGAAAATGATCTGGGTTTGGCGGCGCTAAGCTAGAAATATTGTGCAATCTTGTCTTGATAAGAACACAAAAAGATTTTATTTTTTGTATATCAAGAGTTTGAAGGCTAGGTGTAATTAGTTGATGTTATTTGTATTTTGGATTTTGTGAATGTTTAACAAGAGTTCAATGTTCTTCAATCTTTGATTTTTTATTTTTTATTATTGGATTTTAATTTTTCTTGTAAATTCTGGATTTGATAGAAGCCGCACCCCCTTGTTGCAGAGAACTGTGATTAAATGAAATCCACCATTAATGGGGTCTTTAAAAAGCTTGAAGGTTTAAAATGAGTTACTTGATTTGGTGAAAGTTTGGGAAATTAATATTGGGGTTCTCTTCGGGTCGTTGTGAGGAATGTTTAGCTGAAGTTATAACAAATTTGGTGGAGTTTCTCTTAAAAATTTAGATTAAAATCGTGCTTGGAACAAGAACACACATGAAAAATTATGAAGAACACCAAGACCACTAATTATTTTGTTCATTAAATAGATTTAATATAGTTTTTCCTTTTTTTTTTACTCAAAATAATATGTCTTTTTTTTATTCGTTATTCGCCACGTCAGCAGCGAGTGCATTGCTGATTGCCAAATAAGTGCTCAATTGGAATAAGTTTCGGGTAGTATAAGTGTTCAGTAGGAACTCCCTTAAGTTTAGGTGTCTAAATGAAAAATCGTGCCAACTTTAAGTATCTCCATATGTATTCAGCCAAAGTTTTTTACACTATCAACTTATTTAAAAGATAGCCACATTTTATAGATAATAACCCTTTTACACTATGTTCGTAGAACTAATAAAATGAAAATTAAGATGCATGATGTTTTATAACAAATAAGTGTCTGTATCTAAATCTCAAGAATGGCTTTTGTAATTAGGTTGTCTCTAAATAGGATTTAATATATTCACGGGCAGTATGAGAACAATTTACCATATTATAATCTATCTATATCTATATCTATCTATCTATACTATATTAAAAGTGAGAAGCCCTTAGGTCAAAAGTTAAATTACCAAAATGCCCATCTTATTTTTACTAAATATCCTATTTAATTGAATAAAAAAACTAAAGCTTAGAAAACCTAAATGCCCCCTTCATATCAATCACAACAATTAAGAAAAGGTGTACTCTATATGTTAATGTAGATCCATCAACTACTTTTGTTCTTACATATACTCCACTATCATTATTTTCATAATCTCATCACTTTATGTAGATTCAATATCTGGACGATTGCATCGGCTAGCATATCTTGGTGTAACTTCAAAACTAAAATGTTACCTTGAAGTGTTTTAGAAATTCGAAAACGGAATTTCTAGACTCTAAAATTATTTGAGTGAGAGATTCTCCAAAATAATTGATCTTGCAACTATTACCCATTTTCGAATAAAATTAGAAAGCATTCATGTGCTAATGTTTTTGGAGGCCAATTAAATATACCACGAGGTGATGTTATTCATATGACGTGTGGGAATGCTCAAACAAAGAAACTAAGGGGAAGAAGAGAGGATGCAGGAGTGTAGTGCCCAGAAAATTTTCTATATTTCCACTTAGAAAATAACTTCGAATGGTGCAATTTCTACTGCTTGAATTTTGTCACGACGGCGTTAATTACTCAAGATTGATTTTTCTAACGAAAGTCTTCACATGAAATTTACTCTTTGCACAAAACAATCTTTCAATTAAATCAAATGGGATATCAGGATCCAGCTAGCGTTAGAGTAACCTAAAAAGGTGAATGAATTATTAGCGTTAAGTGACATTTTCGAAGAATATTGCAAACATGGTAACATTTCTCCTTGTGAGACACCCAGATAGTGCACTCTAGAATAGTAAAGTTAGACATGAAAACTAGAATGTTCAGAAAATTCAGAAGATAGGCACTGGAATCCTAGAAAGAATAATTATTTACTTTACTTTCCCGTCTCTAGTAAAGAGAGAATGTTAGGCAACCCAAAGACCCAGTGGATGGAGCAAGGAGAGCTAAAATCGAAAGAGTGTTTTGTTGAAGTTTTCAGAATATAGTGATAGACAGAAATACTAGCAGGAGAAAGAAGAAGAGAGTAAATGAAGTATTATGAGTAAGATGTGATAAATGATTAATAACGGTAAATCGAAATATGACAAGATGACAGAGTCTATAGTCATGTGAAGAAAAAGACAAGAGGAGACAAGCCTTGAGACTATAAAAGAGTATAAGCTATA